AAAAAAAAAATTTGTTGGTAAGCAAGACCCCCTACTACACTGCCCCTCATCTCGTGGTCCACAAGCAGAGGGGCCTGGTTTATCTCTGATTCATTTATGAACTTTTTGCTGTGACTTAGGTACAAGTTTACAGAACACGTTGGTTTTCCGATCAACAATTCATACACATTTTGAGTCTCCATGTGGACTGCAGTCTTTGCAATGGAAGAGCCTTTTTCCCACTCCCACCTCACCTCCACCCCCGTGTTTACCATTCCCATTGGACCCCTTTTCCCTAATCCTTTCTCCTCTCTCAGCTTTATGGGCAAATGCTCTTGAAGTCCCTTGTAGAGTACAGGGTGACTAACACCCCTATCAGTCCTGAACTGCCTTTGATCACACGACCAGACCTTGAACACAGATTCCGACAGGGTTTACGGAGGCATTTATAAGAACAGATTGGGTGAGAGGCTGGCGGAGCCTGCCTTTATCTCCGATCACAGTGGGACTGAAAGCAGAGGTCCGCCTGTGAGGGGCCAAGTGGGCCAGGCCTAACCAGGCTTTATTCTCTTTTGCCCTTTAGACCAGGCCAGTGGTGGAAGCATTGACTGGGCCCATGACTTTGGCATCAAATACTCCTTTGCCTTTGAACTGAGAGACACCGGTCGCTATGGCTTCCTCCTGCCGGCCAACCAGATCTTGCCCACAGCGGAAGAGACCTGGCTGGGTCTAAAGACCATCATGGAGCATGTGCGAGACCACCCGTATTAGGGCTCCAGGGTAGACACCATTAAAATCGCCCAAGTTTGAAGGAGCGTTGCACTGTGATTATTCCCAGGGTGGCATGCCGTGCTGCAGAGCACAAGTCAGCCGTTCACAACTCCCCTTGAGCGTTCCTGCCTTGTCGACCCACAGGGCCAGTTCTACTCGGTCCTAAAAGATTGCCACGAGTCAGAATCGGCTCCGTGGCGGGAGCGAGTTTTAATCCTGGTCTGGGAGCATCGTTTCTTCTCATTATACTGCTGTAACAGGAGACACACCACCGTGCTCCGCTCTTCATCCCAACAGGGTGACCTTTAGGGCTGGGTGGTGTGGGTGGTTCCGTGAATGGTTCATTGGCCAGTCACACCTCTCCAGAGGGGCCCCGGAAGAAAAGGCCTGTTGTGCTGCTTTTGAACACCCCGCGGAGCACGTGATCACCTGGGGTCTGCTCTGCACATGGGGGGTTGCCCCGAGCCAGAGTCAACGAGGGCTGTTGGTTTGGAGCAGTGCTTCCCAAAGTGGTGTACCCCACCCCCCACCCCACCCGGGGAGGTGGGGGACTTTGGATCCATCCAGGGGAGGGGCTATATAAGCAGTTACTTATACTTTATCCTGGATTATGGGCTAGAGGACCATGTTTTTCAGGGCCAAGGGGGTGCTGGAGAAATTTCTTTTTTTTTCTGAAGAGGGGGCGGTCCGCCAAAGACATTTGGGAACCCACACTGAAAGCTAGGACAGGATGTTTCCGGGTCAGGTGCTCAGTGAATCTGGGAGCGGCCTCCCTGGGCCCAGCCTTGCTCTGGGGTTGGTTGCTCTACTCCCCTTTGTTGCCTTTCCTATTTCCATTTCTTGCATTATAAGACCTGGCGAGGTCCCAAATGAGCGACACCCCTGGCCCCCCTCCCCCCGGCGCCCATTGCCCCACCAAGCCTGGGTCTCCGATCCTGCCCGCTTTCTCCTGAGACGTCCACCTCCGTTTGGGAGGTCCAGTTTCTCCAGGGGGAAGGTCTTCCCCAGGGGACGGAAACATGTAGAAAACATGCCTTCCCGTCACTTCTCGTAGGCCCGGGCCTCAGGTCCTCCTGTGTCTGGCTTCGAAGCTGACCCCTGACCTCAGTGAAGCAGAGCCTAGCCTTTGTGGGGATAGGCGGGTGTGGGGGTGCAACTTCAAGGTTGGGAGACAAAAGAGACCTGAGGGAGGAAGATGAGATAGAGGCGCCGGCACCACAGCCTCCAATGGTGACCCTTGGTGGTGTCCCCTCCCCTTGGGTAAAAAGGTAGCCTGAAAGAATGGTGGGGGTGGTGGCGGGGGGAATCAGGGCACCTCGTGCAGATCCCGGATCCCAAGCTCTGGAAGAATTCCCGGAAATCCTGCGTGCTGTCTCCCATTATTCTCTTGGGCTTGCTGAAAAGACCATCAGACTCGAGAGTGCAGCCAGGGTGTAGAGGACCCCGATTCATCCACGAGGCAGGGCTCGTGAAGCCTCGCCTTCCAGCTGAGACCCCCCCCCCCACAAGGAAAAACGGGTCATTTCGTGAGAGCAACCAGTCCCCTCAGGGACCTCTGCTTTCTTCGGAAACCCAGATTTGGCGCAGGCTCCAGATTGATAGCTGAGGTCACAGTTGTCCTCACCTGTAACCACCAGCCACCGGACCAGTGAGACTCATGTGATGGTTCAGAGCGGAGCTGATCTCCATGGGGTTTCATCCTTGTGACCGTCAGAGAGGCAGATGGCCAGCCCTTTCTTCCGTGGAACTTCTGCATGGGTCTCACCGCCCACCTTCCTGTTAGCAGTCCGCACACAGACCGGCCTGCGTGGTAACCCTCCCTGGTGCCTTCGGTCTGGGGTGGCCTAGAGTCTCATCTCCCCGACGCCAGAAGCCGCTCCATCCCACAGTGGACCTGACAGCAGGGACTGTCAGCATCGGCTCCCTCCAGCACCGTGGGATTTTCCTATTTACTCAGAAAGCACCATTTGGATGCCAAGGGATGAGCAACCTGGCACAGTTGGCACAGACATTTCCGACCTGTGGAGCAGGTTTCCAACTTGTCAATAGAGTGACCTGCTCTCGATCATTGGAAAGGAATGGCAGAGGCATTGCTCGGGCCATCCTGCCTACAGGCAGCGGTGCAAGGGTGCCTTGGGAATCACATTAGCATTTCTGAGGTCATGAGTCTACTGCATTATAGAGCCTTATAAATGCAGCCCGTCTCAGTCACTCTGTGGTTGACATTCTTGGGGACATGAGGTGGATCCTGTTCTTTGGGGCCCTTGTTGGGCCCGGCGTCTTCTGCCGAGAAAAGTTTTTCGGGTAAGTACTTTTTAGAGTTCTTATCTACGGTGCCTTCAGAAGCACGGGAGCCAGGTGAAGTGGACAACAAATGGCCAGTCACTCCCTCAAGCAGCCTGACACTGGGGAAAGGGGACCGGGGCTCCTGTCCCCGCTCAGTCACTCCATCCTCGTAGACAACTCCTTCTCTCTCAGGCCGGATCTCATCTGTGAAGGGCAGACGGGACGGCCTCCATGGGTCCCTGCTCCCTCCCAATCTCCTGCTAGTTTCTCCTCTTCTTGCTCGCCCTTCTCTGTCCAGCCCGTTGTGGGCATCGCTTTTTGTCTTCTCCATAACTTAACGTCTGAGAAGGACTGGACATCGATCCTGGTTTCTGCCATACTGAAGGGAAAGCTTGGGTCTCAGTCTGTCAGTGTGGCCCCCGTTGAATGGCGAGGGATTCAACGGGTGCTTTCTGGTCCTCTTCTGGGACTTGGGGTTTGCTAGGGTTTGCCTCGGCACAGCTGTGAGCATGGACATGCCAAGGCACACCTGTCCATTGGTGTGTGTGTGTGTGTGTGTGTGTGTGTGTGTGTGAATGCCCATGCTCCCCCTACCCCTCCCCGCAGAATGCCCTCTCTGCGGTGTGAAAGGAGGGGATGTTCGGGAGGAGGGAGAGATGAAAGGACGGTGGTGCCCCAGCTAGGAGATTGAATTATAATAACTCATTACCACATAATGCTTTGCCATTTGCAAAAAAGCTTTCATGTACATTATCTTTTGGATCACACACCAACCCTGCCAGCCAGGGGTGTTATTTTCCTCAATTTAAACATGAAAAAACTCAGCTTCCGAAAGGTTAAGGAACCCGCCCAAGGCCACTTAGCTGGGAAGCAGGGGAGCTAATCGCAGCAGAGAGCCCCAGACCTGTGGATTTGGCCGGGTCTGTTAGCTTCCACTCCATTATCACTGCTGGCTCAGGGGACTGTGGGGCTGTTTACTTAGGAAAGGATTTCTATGGACTTCAGTAATTTTTTTGTGGTGATGACTTTTGGGCACACCTGTGTGTCTGTTGCCAAATGGCTCAGAGGGGTGAGGCGGAGCAGGTGGCCCGGGAAGGAGGTTTGGCCACAGGCGTGGCAGGTGTGGTAGCTGTCAGGTGCTCGCTGTGTCTGTCCACGGAAGAATCTCTACTCCTCGCCGCAGACCCCCTTCTCAGGGAGTGGAGCTGCCTGGCGCCGAGGCAGGTGGGCTGGCCCAGCATGCTCACAGAGCTCTTCCCACAGCCCTGAGTGTCACCCCCACAGCGGGGAGCCATCAAGGTGAGGGATTCTTCCTGGGACCCACAGGCGTGTCCTCAGTGAGACACTTGGAGCAAAGGGAAGCTGGCCTCCCACTTAGGAGGTTAGTGGGGAAGCCAGGGCCTGGCCTGGTGATGGCGATGAGGATGGACTCTCTCCCCGTCAACACTTCCAGTCCCCACAGGGGGCGGCTATGAGTCAGCATTGACTCAATGGCAGTGAGTTTGACTTTGCGTTGAGTTAGGATCATCGAGGCCCCTGACAAGATGGATGGACATAGTGGCTGCAACCAGGGGCTCAAATCTAAGACCCATGAGAGGATGGTGCAGGACCGAGCAGCGTGGCGCTCTGGTGCTCCCAGGGCCACTGGGCGTCGGGAGGGACTCGAAGGCACCTAGCAGCAGCAACAACAACAATCATCTCTACAGAACCAGATGGCCAAACCTTCTCTTCCAGAGCGTGACTGGCTGGGCTTGAACCACCCACCTTTTGGTCACCAGCCTAGCAAGTAACCAATGGCTCCACCAGGGCTCCTTGGGCAGAGGCAGAAGAGGGCTAAGTACAGGTTGCACTGGGGGTACCAGGAAGCCTTGCAGATGAGAGAGGCCTGGTGAGCTCCCACTGAAAATTAGCCAATGAAAACCCTATGGCTCCCCGCCCAATACTCTCTGATACCCGGGTGAAAGGTGAGACCCCTAGGCTGTCTCAAAAACCCACTCCCTGCCATCCCATGGTGCCAACTCAGAGTGGCCCCGTAACACAGGGGAGAACCGCCCCTGTGGGTTTCTGAGACTGTAACTTTTTTTTTTTTTTAACATTTTATTAGGGGCTCATACAACTGTTATCCCAATCCATACACACATCAATTGTGTAAAGCGCATTTGTA